CAATGTTAGTTTGTATAAAGGCACATAACAGTCCAGCTGGATCTTGCTTAATTGTTAGTTAGGCATATCTTGTTTCACAAGTGATTAAAACTCACCCTGAGGCACTGAAATATGTTCAGTTTCAGTCTTAGGAATAAATTGTACGTCTACATCACGCCAGATGGATTTATCTGGTAGGCATCATACAGGAAAAATAAAAGATAAAATATTCATCTATCAAACAGTAAGTAACGCTATCATTAGTGTAGTTGAACAGCTTCACTTAAGACACACTCAGGGTGAAATCATCTCAAGCTAAGAACCAGACTTCGTCGGAAGTAATGCCATAGAATCAAACAATCACTTGTCGACTGACTGATTTTCCTTTCCATTTATTAATTTTAAGCTTGAAATTTTAACCTTAGTGCAGAATAATTTTTGATAGCCGCTAAACCAAAGTTACTAAAGTGTTCAGATTTGTACGGTTCCATGCAATTTGGCATTACCAAAACAATGTGTTGATATCTCTTGATGACAACTCATTCATATTTTGTCCACCTGACAGACACTTCAGGCTACTAAATATTCAGGGATTTAACTGGTGACTGATTTACCCAAAGAAGATAAGTCCTGAAGACTTGATCAAAATATCTTTGCCTTATTTAGCTTATATTACTGGTTCCACCGGTGTAAATGAAGTTGTAAAAACGATGAGGAAGTTCAGGGTGGTAGCTGGTTCTTGATATATACAACTGACCGAGTTGGAAACCCAAGAAGACGATGTTTAGCTTGGCAGTCATTTGAACGCCTAATTCTGTGGTTTGGTGTCACCATGAAAATCAGTATTCTTAAAATATGTCTTCTTAGGAACTGTCTTAATCCACTTTATAAATTCTTCGGTTTTTGAGTTTTTTGCATTAAATTTAAATTTATCCCAATTTTCTATGCCCATTAGCACTATTTGTCTTTTTTACCATCAGCTGCATCATAACTACAAATTCTTCCGAATTTTTTTGACAATAGGGGAATTAGATTTCGTTTACTTAACGACGGTGCCATACTATTGAAATTCATGCACTGTCTATTTCAAAACGACGTTCCACAGATTGAATTTTGGAGGAAATCATCTAGATCACTTGGTAAGCTTCAAAAGCTAGCTATCTGAAGTATGGTACAAAGTAGTATTGCGGCTGGCAATTTAAAGAAGTGATGTCTCACAATCATATCATTTCATTGAAATGTTCCCATGGTGCAAGTAGTAGTGAATACAGTTTTGCTACATAATTCTATCAAGTAAAAACAATTCATGCTATCGGCTGTTGTATAAATATTCGTGAAAGCAGTAAATATGATATATTTCTTGAGCAAACTTACAGATAGCTCGACAGGATGTTTTCAAACAGACTGGAATAAAATTATTTGTGGATTCAGAATAATTGAGTTTAAAATACCCTCATAGAAGAAGTCAGTTTGAATGGTTCACTGGAGCTCAGGTGGGCTAACCATTTGTCATTATATTAACACGGCTAAAAAGTGGTGTAGTTTTTATGAACATATCTGTTTCACCTCTGAGTTGCCACAGTACAATGAAACTACAATTAAGTATATTTTACTTCGCAGTATTCACCTAACGATTTCGAAGCTGTACATTTTATCGAGAGTCTGCAAACTTAATTGCATCGAAGTAATTTTAGGTGTTAAGTTTATAAAAATTCACTGTTTGCAGGTTATGGTAGAAACTAGTTTGAAAAGTCAGCTCCGTTGTATCTAAATACTGGAACAATAACGGTAGCATGCAACAGCAAATGTGGACGCGCACAGTAAAGTATTTCGTCTGGTTACTTAATATAAACTAAATACATTATTATGCCAAATGGTACAGTAATGTTCAGATAACGAATTTAGGATATCTAAAAGGTGAGAAAATACATTGTTGATACAAAATATACATAAATAGCTATTTTTTCATCTAAATGAACTGACGAATATGAACTCAAATCAACTAATGATTACATCAGATAATACATGAATTAGAATTTAATATATTAATAAAAATGAAGCAAGTGTACTAAAGCTCTTACAATAAAGGTGTCAAAATTTCCGAGTAAACTTTCCATTTAAATATCGAAGAAAATTAGTAACTATTAGCTTATTTAGCATATAGGTTCTGCGGTTTCATATAGTCAAAAAAGTCTGTCTTGTGTCTTAAAAATGCTGCTGATTTCTTGAAGTATGATCCGTCAACCGTTAAATTTAACCATGAAAATTAGTGCAGGCGGAATGAAATTTTATCGATACTGTAGTCATTCTTTGCAAATGTTAGATGATTAAAGACAATCAACTGAATACCACGAACACACCCTTGGTTTTTGTTGATATTCATTAACAAGGCAGATCTTTAGTTTTCGTCTTTCATTTCTAGAAGCATTACTGCCATGGATTTATGATAACCGTGAAAAAAGGAGTTTTAAGTTGATATTATTGCTGCTGGCAGACAGCACTACATTATTGTCTTTCTCTCAGTACATACTGAATGCAACTAAATGCACACCTTATATTTAAAGCCTTCCTTCAATGGCTTTGATCCACACAGATTTTGACAGAGATCACTGTGATGTGGAAACTCTTAGTTAGTCTTCGTTTGATTAAATTTACACTTTTGTGAAAAACTTCTCTAAGTATCTGAATTTTTAACATGAGGGTGGAAATTTCAAAACCTTTTAAGAATAAGTGTCAAATAATGGGGCAAAATGTTTAGTACATGTTATAAAGATTTTACTACCAGTTATAATCTCCAGAAGGTGATCAGTGGTCCAAAAACGACAGTGTTCAAAGTGAATACAATATTTAATAAAATCCTAGTCATCTATATTTCACATTGCTTTAATTAAAATCTGTCGTTTATGGACAAATATTAAAATGTACTAACTGAGACTAAAAATATACTAATTTCATAATCACTTGAAGTTCAAACGACTCTACTTTTTCCAGCATTGTTTTTCCACAGTTCAACTGTCTGGCTGCCCAAGTAGCATTTGTCATAAATTTGTATTTATTATGGAATTATATTTTGATGAATGCTGAGTTGTCATTCATACCCTATCCTTTTTGCATACAGTTAACCTTTGATTTACGCCAGAACTTAATGATAGTGATACATTTCATTTATCCTGTGTAAACAAAAATCCATGTTTTTACATGTCTGGTATACAGGACTCTGACTCATTTACTCTTTACAGAACATTTTCTGTTAGTTTCTGACGAATTTAATAAATAATGTTTATTTACTGATTTTATCGTCTAGAGTTTTGTTAATATGAATTACGTGAACTGAATAAAGTATTTAGCTGTTAGGTTTGTGAAAAATTGATTGGTACGAATCAGGAAATCATTGTTGATTTTGAACTGTGGTGAATATTTTGAAAAGCAAAGCCATTTAACCCTAAACATGAATTAAAAGGAACTGGAATAAGTAGTTCTTTCCAGGTCTGAAACCAGAATAAACGTTCTTTGAATAAATTATGCAATTACTGAATGTTTTGTTCACCCTCTTTCTTATCTGATGCATTTCTTGTCAGTTTTAGAGCCATCAGACAATTGTTGGACATTCATACATTATACTGTAAACAGTCTACGAAGCTGTATTTATTATGAATGATATAGCGAAAATTACAAACAAATACTCATCTTTTAGAGTCAGGCACCGTTTTACCACGAGTGACTTCACTATATTTGTTTTAAACAATCTTGACACCTGAGCAAATAGAAAAGCATAAGCAGATATACTAAGTTCCAATGAAAATCATATTGCGTTGAATTTAGCTTAAGGTGTACGTATCTGAATCCTGTAGTTGTCGAAAAAGGGTTATAGAAGCAACCCTAAATTATGGCAACATATCTACTTTATTTCTGCTTATGAGCATTTCGCATGCCTAAAGTTTGTGCTGTATGTTTAGTCGAACTTAAGTGACAAAAAAAGTTAAATTACCTATAATGCTTTAATAGAGATTTGGTATGAAAATGAACTAGTCAACTTTAATTCTATTCCATGATAAGCCATTTTAAATAGACTAATCAGTAGAAAATCATTGCTGCTAGTAGTTTGTCTTCATGTAGGCTTTAATTAAATTCAATAAAAAATGAAGTGCCTACATAAATTGGTAAATGGTTAGCATAGGAAACATTTTTGACTTTCAAAGTCAATCAGACTTCAGTTAAGTTAGTATTTGATTTTCACTGTAAAAGGTAAGAAAATTGGTCTGTTTGGAGGACTGCTTATAAAAAGCGTCTTCTAAAGAATAAAAGCAATGCAGATACCCTTTTCCAAGATCACCTGTAGAGGATCATTTCATTTTTTTGGGAACAGAGTCTAACACAAAATATTGGTTTACTTCTCGAAATTTTGAAAAGAGGAGCTGTTTAAGAATAAATGTTAGTCGGTTGGAGACCATCTTCCTTCATGGTACTTTTTTAGTGGGTTAGGAGACTGAAAGTAGTAAAAGGTGAAATCGCTTCCTAAAATAGACAAGCAGAATGCAAATCTCTCAGCTTATACATGTTAAGCATCAATAAAATGCAGCAAATTTGAAAGGAATCCAGACTGCAGCTAAGTTCTAATACTCTATAACTTATACTGAGCTCCATCACATAATCCATAAAACTACGTGTGTGTGACTGAAGACCTCATTAACAGTTTCTTCTTATCAACAAACGTCCGATATTGAATCAGTTGCTTCAATACAGGAGAAAAGCAGCCCATATTTTCTTTCTGTAGCTCATAATAAGCAGTTAACAGTTGACTGTGAATCTAGTGATTCTTGGTTACTAAAGAGTTTGTCACCAGAAGTTTTATGCGAAGGCTATTTTAACAGAATGAAGAAATAAAATGTAATATGTAATTTAATAGGTGAATGATAAGCATACTTAAAGAGTCACGCGACATGAGTTACATTAAAGAAGAATAAATTTACGACGATGCTTTGGAAATCTACACATCATGTTTAGTTGTTTAATAAACTAACCATCTTGTCGTTGAGCGCACCATGCTTTATTACTCAAGTAATGACCGTACTCTGGTGTACACGAACGTTGCGATCTTTTACCTCGGGAACTTGAAGCAGCAAATCGCGCATAGGGAGGTATCCCAATAAGTTGTTTGCATGCTGAAATTGTACCAGATGGAAACAATGAAAATATAATGGTGAAGAATATTTGTAGCTAATACAATTCAATCATAAGTGAAAATGGAAAAGTGTGAATAATATCTTACACGATGGTTATTAAAAACTTCATGATAAATTCTTCAGATAAATGATATTCTCAATTAATCAGAATAAGTTAAATTGAACTATTGCATATTAAATGCTCTTCATACATCTCATCAGAAACTTAGGTTCAAGTTATTTCAGAGGGATAAATAAAAACAGCATTATATTTTTCAAAGATTCTCATTTGATTGGTTTCTAAAACGATATTTCAGTTATTAAAGCACTAGTTTTCTGTCCAAAGCTGTTGTAAAGTTATCAGTCGAATTCTATCCTAAAATCATGAAATTGTACTTCACGAAAAAACAATCTTAAAGTGGCAAAGCAGGTTGTCAGTAACCCATGATTGTCAAGTATGTTTTTCTCTTGGAACGGTAGGTTTCTAAGACTACAATATTGGTCCATAGGTCTTTCTACAAACTAAAGCATATGGTATCAGTTTGATTAGCTTAGAATTTAAACAGCGAAACTAGGATTTTTTCTTTCTAAATATGTTTATTGTACTTCTGGAGTATTTGCTTTGACACACACTTAGATTCATAAATGCACTTTGGGGTGATATCAGATTGTTACCTGTTCATTTGTATCTGAAATATGGCTTGAGTAATAGTATATAATGAAATACGTTTCGTGGTTGAATTGATCCTTATAAAGAAAATCCCTAATCTTGTTCAGAACATTTCATCTGGCATATATAAGAAAGATGATAGCACAGACTTATTTATTGTTTGACCATTCCAAAAGATCAATAGAATTAAATGTTCTAGACGGTTAGAAAAACACCAAAACCTGATTTTCTACCAAACATTCTGTATAAGTCAAGGATTATTTACAAAACTACTTGCACAGTTCTACTTTATTATTCAGTAGTATTTATATCTAGTACAGATAATAAAAAATCTGTAGAACTTAAAAAAACATCTGTGTCACGATAGTTCACTTTTTGATGTAATTCTCATAATTTCTCCAGGTGCTTTGTTCTCTGGGTCACGTATTTCCGGTCGCATGCCTTATTTCATTAACTAGCAATAAATAAAAGAAAACTTCACGCTGCATGTTATATACAGTGGAGTGTCATCATATAGCTCTGCAAGAGGATGAAAAGCCTATATTTTTGGTCCCAATCGCAGTAGCTGTTTTAAAGTTTAATATGTAATATGTTGTAAAACATCTCTAGTTGAAAACATTGATGATTGCACAAATAGCATTATTTTATTTAGTCCCTTTATGATTACATATATTTTGGAAACACTAAACTGTTCACGTGGGCATCACTAAACCTGAACTCCCTACCTAGCATCATTATCATTAGGTCTTATTTAAGATGACTTTCTGTTGATATCTGTCACTCTAATTTTCCAGGCATTTAATCCAGAGGATAGTAATTTCTTCGACCATTCGCTCACAAGGAAGATTTTTCCCTGCATTCAATTTTGGATATAGAATGTTCACCATACAATGCTATCACTAGCTAGCTGTCCTATATCCTTCAACAAGTCAGGAAACAGCTAGTAAACACAGTGTATGAAATCCTTTGGACTTTGTTGACTAAATTAGTAATGTCGAAATATCCGGCAGGCAAATGAATTCTCTTGATGCGGTTCCGCTCTTCATCAAAACCCGCCTCACGGAAACTACCCGTATTCTTTATGATTTCAATGCAGGTAACAATTTTCACATTATTTAAAAGAATTACTTCTGTGATGTATTTTCAGTATACAGGTCAAATTAAAAACGAGCTATATAGTCAAAATGATGGGATCGTCATGGTGTCACCAGTGGAACGGCTGCTGGCTGATGGCTTTATGAGAAACCTAAAGAATATTGTGCTTCACTCAGCAACCGATAGTTTTTACATACATCAAAGATGATGCGTTCGTCATATGTAATCAAAATACAGATATTGAGAATTTGGTTGAAAATTCTGACTGTCACACATCGGTCAAATTTCTATAAGAATTTGAACGGGACTCAGAACTTAATTTTCCCGAAGTCCTATTGAAACGAAGACCAGATGGTTCTCTTCAGAGATTAAGTTATAGAAGGCTGACGTCAAATGAACAGTATATGAAATTTTCTATCTTCAAGTATTAGAAGAATTTGCACGAATGGTACTGAAGATGACGAGTCGGATAAACTATGAAAAATTCTCGTGTAAAGTGGATACCCACCCAGATATAATGAGAAAAACTTGGAATTAAAACAGAATGCAGAGCAAGTAGTCAAGGTTCCAAAGAAGACCGTTTATCAAAGTTGGTTTCTAAGGTGATACGGCAGCATAGATCCCGAAAAATCGGCTATTCAGATGGCTGAAGAAGACATTCTTCTCTACCAAGCTAAAGATTAGCTTATCTAGTCGGCAGTAGGTCGCTGGGTTTGTTAAATAATAGCTATCACTCTGGGATACCCCACTGTGTCCACAAATTCACTTGGTTCTGTGGAGCTAGTTATATAGGTCACACAAATCACACTCTTTCCAAATGTATCTCTGAGAACAATCCTATGTGGTCGTCAAGGGGAAAATGTCAATCAATTAACAGCTCAATTCTGGAACATTTGGTCATCTCTGGACACATTGCCCAGCCATAGTTCTGGTTTAATGTAATTTACACAGTCAAAAAGAACGTTTCAAAAACAGTACATTTTCAACAGATGTGCGCAGTAGATGCACTGACAGTTTATCAATTCGAGCCCCATCTCTGCATGCAAGAGAAGCGTGTTCCATCTTTTACCTTACCATTTTCCTAACACTCCCAATTTTTGAGTTCATTATAATTAGTTAATTAGTTAGTTAGTTAGTTATTATCACTCTCGCTATGACCTTTCTTTCTTCAACTTCTTATCTTTAGAGTGAATAATCAATCCTCACATTCCACATTTACCAATAATTTCTATCTTGTCGAACTTTTTAAACTTTATCATTATTTCCACTGTCTAAGAGATTATTACACAACTACTTTCCATGCCTGATTTCACTTTATAGCACTAATTTAGTGACGCAATTATACTCTGTTGTTTAATAATAGACTTTTAGATGATTGTGAGATATATAAGTACAATTTTACAGCTTCAGAAAACCATATCAATGGAAAAGAAAACTTCCCCCATTTATTGATCTTTCGCTTTCCCTGTGACTCGATGAGCATGTTTCGTCGTTCAATCACTTTATTGCTGGTACAATCCTCCTCCGTTTTCAGTTACCCACGATTGTTTCGGCCTGTTGATATTCCATCACCATACTATTTAAAAATATGATGATTTCAAATAAACGAAAGCAAGAGTTCTACATTAATAGCAAGTTCGTCAGCAAATCAGGCTAGCGCATTGATTTCATTATATTTCTTTCCAAATTAGAATGTTTTGGCACTTCAAAATTCTCATAATATATGGGTTTTCAGAGGCATAAAACTAGATAAAAATGAATCGACAACTTGTGTAATTAAGAAACCAGCAATAATTCACTTACCTTGACACCCAATAAGTTCAACTCTTAAACTTGGATGATTATGCCATGTGTACGTATGAACTTTTACGTATCGTGCGCGAATTGGCTCATCGAAATAATTGTGTTTCACTGTGTAGGAATCTGAGTTTCCTTCAAAAATCTAACAAAGAAAAAGTAAGGTTATGTATTCACTGCTAACGGGAAAAGACTTAATTATAGTAAAAACGAAAATAAATACATTTAAAGTTATTTGGAAAACCAGCACGTACCACCAGACTTCTTTTTGTTTTGACATATATATCTCACGGTTATTTAATAGCCTTGTAATATATCTAGGTTTTGAGACTTCTGAATGACAAAGTATTCCATTTAGATCACAGAGGATCTGATCACTGGCAGGTAATTTGCTCAACTTTTAAAGCCATAATGATGATAGACTTTCACTTTCAGTACTGACTGAAAATGCTGAAACGCTTTTTGCACTCCAAACAAATATAAAAAAGTATTTGTATTACTTGGCAAAAGATGTAATTGGGTAATGTGTTAATGTGCAAAGTTGAGATGCCAACAACTGCTGATTTTCATTTTACAAACAGGGAAGTTATGTCACAGTTGGTGATTACGACTTCAAGACATATTTCGATGGAACTGATACATTGGTGAAGAAAACTCTTCACGACCATGTGTATTATAGAAATAATATTTATATTAAGATAACGAATGTAACTAAGCTTTTACAGAATGTTAATTTTAAAATATGTTCCCTAAAGAAAATTATATGTTTATTTCGAAGCAACATCCTAAAGCCTGTGAGATATGATATCTACATTTTGAGAATGAGTAGAAGTCGAAGTAATATCCATTCACTAAAGAATACATTGACTGTATTGCAAGCAAGAATATAAATGGTTCATACTTTTGATTCAATGTACACACATAAATATTTCTGATGTCGAAATAAAAACATTCTGCAAAAAGAAACAGGACCTTTTGAACAACGAAAATATCCAAAGTACTCAGTCAGACCTAACTACGAGAAGGTTTGCCTCAAGAATAACCGTAGTAATAACTTTTTCCATTGTACATTCAACAAATAGATTTATTTCCAGGTGGCTACATCTTTTTATTCTTCCTAAACTTTGCCTCAAACAAAAACGTATGGAGGACGTTACCAGTTTGGAGAAAGAAAGATGTCAGCATAGTTTAACAGGCAGTTTCACACAGAATCGTGGCATTATTGTTTCATGTGATTCCCTTTAGCGTCATCTCAGCGTTCGAAATTCATTTGAAACCATAAATCAAGGAACATGAAAGGTTTACAGCGGGTGAATATATTGAGGCAATAATAATGTATCAGATAGGTATTAATTCCTAGTTTAACTGCTCCAGGAGGGATCACACTCATGATGATATAATTTCTGACATTTCGTGACTTCATGGAAATAACTCCTTCATAGAAAAAAACCTCTACAAGTTGTTGACTGTTGACTGATGAACGTTGACCAGTAAGATCCCAGTATTCATATATGATAATGATATGGGCATACATATACATAAATATATTCCATTTATAATCCATTTACCCATTATTCAACGTATACAAATCTATCAGATCAAATTTTGATCCTGAAGTATTAAATTGAAATATTTGTTAAGAGGTATGTATGTACGCCTAGTCAGTTGGCCGGCTGACCGCACCGAATGAAGTTTTTTAATGAATTCGATTTTCATCTGTAACTACAATACTGGTCCACTTCTAAAAGCCGTCTTATTCTAGAAATATCTATTCCTTACAATGTATCAAATGGTTGCGTAAATTTATGCTCCATATCATCTGTAAACAATTACTCATAAGCTTACTTTCTAATTCTTTATTCTGTAAGTCTTTGATCTTAGTACTATCCTAGAATTTCTGAATTTATCTAATTATTGTGTGAAACTTGTTAACAAAGTTAAGGTTCAGGAGCCATTATTAACTTTGTATTGATCAAGTGAAGTAACTTAATTGAAGGCACGATTACGTGACGAATCCTTATGGAAAACCGATTTCTTGGATAAATGTCCCACTGAAATCAACATCATGAGGCCTAAAAGGGGGTAAAAAATGTTTATTAGGAAAAAGAGCTATTACTGGACAAAGCGGTTAGCAAAACCACTCATAAATATAGATGTTTAGCCTATCACTGGTTCTAAAAATGCAATAACCGAAAGTCATAAGCTGGACATTAGGTTAGGCTTATATAACTTTAATTTCCTATCACAGTGTCATTATCATATGAACAGTACTGGAAGACAGCACTTTAGTCATTATTTTTCTTACTCCTAATACCGAAACCAAGAGTAGCTGAAGAGAATATTGCTACTGTACGTTGTTTTAACTTTGTAGATACTGAACAGTATGTGTAGGATGGATGTGAGTTCCTTTCATAACCCAAAGATTACCGTAATGTGAACTAATCCAAATGTCAAGTCTACATGCGAGGGAAACTTGTATCTTCAATTTTTTCACTTATTCCTAACTAACAATATCAAGGCATTAATTACGTTGAAAACGTTTACTACAAACTCTTTGTATTTGCTGAAATATTTCAATGAGTTAGTGATATGGGTTGAAGTTTGAACGGTTTATGAGACCAAGAATAGTATTGGAGATGATACGTATGCATATATGACCCTATTCAAGGAAGAACGTTTATGTGGGAATTTCTTTTTAAACAGACAAGATAAATATAAAAAGGGAACTGTCTGGTCGGACTTAGTCAAGGTGCTAGACGAGTTTTCAAGAGGATTAAGATGTCCTGAATTCACTGGACGTTCAGCAGCAGAGATTAATACAGTTCACTTTTCTCTTTTAAAAGGTGTAGTTCTGGCAGGTTTATAAGCATACTGGGCAAGGGATTACATGGTACGGCCAATTTATTCATCTTTATTGAAGAAATTAAAATTGATGAAGTGGAATCTGACAACTTATTCTCAAGTATTAACAAATCAGCTGCTGATCTGTAAAAATGACTTTAACACTTGGAGCGAAAATTGTTCCACTGAGTGACTTCAACAACTGCTTACACAGCATGTCAGTGATTATGCCACCCATAGGTTTGAAGTCTCGTAGAGTGATTCTTTTCTCAGCTAGATGTTGACCTTTCGAAATCTTTTTCTTTTCCTGTTTCTGGCAACACACATATATATGGGTGACAATTTCGTGACGGCACTACACGAAAGCTTTGAATTTCACGCTCGACTTTATTATCAGTATATATGTATCTGATCCCTAATGGGCAAGAAATGATATTTATCTTGTTGTTGTTATGCATTCAAATACGTAGCATACTCAACTGCCCATTACAAATAAGCTTTCCATAGATGAATCTTCAAATACAACTTCAGCTTTTCCTCTCATGTTTAGTGGCTGAGAAGTGGAGTTGATTTAATTCAGTTTCCACAGTACAAGTCACTGAACGGTTACCGTTACGTGAACTTGTGAAAGAGGCTTTTCATGCCCGCTTTTGTTACAAATGATGGTGTCGTCTATATATTCATTGTATATATTAATTCAGTTGTTTAGTAATAGTTAAGGTTTGTTTTCAAGGCTAGAGACATCGAAGCTACTTAATATGAACAGTCAGAGCTTGAAAATAACTGACCATGAAGATCCGAACGTCTTATTTGAATTATCAGTAGTAGAAAAAAAAGAAGTTGAAAAACTGCATACCAGCATACTGAATAAATGAATGGAAAATTTTGATATTAAAGTAAGGAAGAGTCTTAAAGTGATTGCCTGTCGAAACATTAACCACTGCTCTGTCAGAAGTATTCGCATTCTGACGTAGTTGAACTGACCTTCAGATAGATGTATATCTGTGGTCTTATCTCTAGGTTCTGCGGTCTCAAATCAAAATTTGTTAAAATTGACACAAAGTTATTTTAAGAACTTGGATGGTTAAACTATAAATCCTGTTCTAGTGCCTAGAAATGATATGAGTGACTACCAATCAACTACTTAAATGACTTTCTTCATTAAGAAAAAAGTAGACTTACTTATCGAAATGCACTCATGAAAGATCTTCGAAATCAACAAAAGTGACTGAAGAAAGAAAAAACTGTTCACAATCCAAAGGGAAAATGGTGCACCCCTAATACTGCTAAATAAAACCTACAAGAAAGATTAAATTTAACTCATTTATCCATTGAAAAGAAGTTCTAAAGTTGACGGGTCAGAGGGACATCACCAAACACATAAGAAACTCAGTCTTCAAGGACGAATGAAGAATCGATCATCGCAACTGATCATTACAAATGACGCCGTCCTTTACGGCTTTTCAAACATTTTATTTCATATTAAGGACACAAACATAAAAGCAAATGAATGCATCCTTTTGTTCATCTATATTATTTAGTAACAGAGTTTAGTTCGCAATTGATAATGATAAATAGTGTCAAAATATGTTCTCATGGGGAAGGTGGACCCATGATTATCGCACTGAGAATCTCGTCAATACCATATATATATATATATATATATATATATATATATATATATATATATATATATTTGCTAGCTCATACATGTCATTTTCACTTGTAATACAAGCTGTAGGTATCAGGTTTATCATTATCGACTTACTTAACAGTGATACAGTATGGACTGTTTAAAAAGTTTACCGGTTATTCTGACTTATTCACACTGGTGCCAATTAGTCAGTAGGGTGCTTGACCGGTGAAACTTGATTCGCCTATTTTTAGTTCTTCAATGGGTGATAACTACAAAACTACTTTATTTATCACAACTATGGAATACCAGTATAGCTTTGAAAGGTTTTATTGTTTTTCCTATGGAATAAATAAAGAGAAAAAGTGCTTGTTTCCGAGAAGAAAACAACTTAAACCTAAAGAAAACCAAAAGGAAATAAAAAAAAACATATAAGCTACCTTGGTAATCGCATTGAATTTTCTGAACAAAACAAACCTATTTGCTCATAAGAACATGTTTTCCTCCTCTCACTTAGATGTTTTTATGTCTGATCATAAATATACCTGTCTCTAGAAAAATATTCTAAAAATAATATCTTTGCTTGAAGACACCATAAAACCTACAAAAAATTAAAGTAACTGTACTAGTATTGATTCCAGTCAGAGACGAAAAAAACTGTACATATAGAA